AGTCCAGCCCCTTATGAGAGGGGGGGGGGAATCCTAGAGTTGGGTCTATTAAAGACCATCTAGTCCAACTCCATAAGAGAGAGAGAGAGAGAATCCTAGAGTTGGGGCTCCTAAAGGCCATCCAGTCCAGCCCCTTAAGAGAGAGAGAATCCTAGAGTAGGGTCTACTAAAGGTCATCCAGTCCACCCCTTATGAGAGAGAGGGTTGGGGAATCCTAGAGTTGGGTCTACTAAAGACCATCTAGTCCAACTCCTTAAGAGAGAGAGAGAGAGAATCCTAGAGTTGGGGCTCCTAAAGGCCATCCAGTCCAGCCCCTTAAGAGAGAGAGAGAGAGAATCCTAGAGTAGGGTCTACTAAAGGTCATCCAGCCCACCCCTTATGAGGGGGGGGGGAATCCTAGAGTTGGGGCTCCTAAAGGCCATCCAGTCCTTAAGAGAGAGAGAGAGAATCCTAGAGTAGGGTCTACTATAGGTCATCCAGTCCACCCCTTATGAGAGAGAGGGTTGGGGAATCCTAGAGTTGGGTCTACTAAAGACCATCTAGTCCAACTCCTTAAGAGAGAGAGAGAGAGAATCCTAGAGTTGGGGCTCCTAAAGGCCATCCAGTCCAGCTCCTTAAGAGAGAGAGAGAGAGAGAATCCTAGAGTAGGGTCTACTAAAGGTCATCCAGTCCAGCTCCTTAAGAGAGAGAGGGAGGGAGGGAGAATCCTAGAGTTGGGCCTACTAAAGGCCATCCAGTCCAATCCCTTAAGAGAGAGAGGGAGGGAGGGAGAATCCTAGAGTTGGGTCTACTGAAGGCCATCCAGTCCAACCCCTTAAGAGAGAGTTGTCTTTTACCGGCCATCCAGTCCACCCATTATGAGAGGGGGGGGGGGGGAATCCTAGAGTTGGTCTACTAAAGGCCATCCAGTCCAACTCCTTAAGAGTGAGAGAGAGAGAGAATCCTAGAGTTGGTCTACTAAAGGCCATCCAGTCCTACCCCTTGAGAAAGAGAGAGAGAGAGAATCCTAGAGTTGGGGCTACTAAAGGCCATCCAGTCCAGCTCCTTAAGTGAGAGAGAGAGGGAGGGAGAATCCTAGAGTTGGTCCTACTAAAGACCATCTAGTCCAACTCCTTAAGAGAGAGAGAGAATCCTAGAGTTGGGCCTACTAAAGGCCATCCAGTCCAACCCCTTAAGAGAGAGAGAGAGAGAATCCTAGAGTTTGGGCTCCTAAAGGCCATCCAGTCCAAACCCTTAATTGAGAGAGAAAGAGAGAAGCCTAGAATTGGGTCTACTAAAGGCCATCCAGTCCAACCCCTTAAGAGAGAGAGAGGGAGAATCCTAGAGTTGGTCTACTAAAGGCCATCCAGTCCAACCCCTTAAGAGAGAGAGAGAGAGAGATTCCTAGAGTTGGGCTACTAAAGGCCATCCAGTCCAACCCCTTAAGAGAGAAAGAGAGAATGCTGGAGTTGGGTCTACTGAAGGCCATCCAGTCCAACCCCTTGAGAGAGAGAGAAAGAGAGAGAGAATATTAGAATTTTGTCTTCTACAGGCCATCCAGTCCAGATCCTTATGAGAGAGGGGGGGGGGGGAATCCTAGAATTGGGTCTACTAAAGACCATCTAGTCCAACTCCTTAAGAGAGAGAGAGAGAGAATCCTAGAGTTGGGGCTCCTAAAGGCCATCCAGTCCAGCCCCTTAAGAGAGAGAGAATCCTAGAGTAGGGTCTACTAAAGGTCATCCAGTCCACCCCTTAAGAGAGAGAGAGAATCCTAGAGTTGGGATTACTAAAGGCCATCCAGTCCAGCCCCTTAAGAGAGAGAGGGAGAATCCTAGAGTTGGGTCTACTAAAGGCCACCCAGTCCAGCCCCTTAAGAGAGGGGGAGAGAGAATCCTAGAGTTGGGACTACTAAAGGCCATGCAGTCCAGCCCCTTAAGAGAGAGAGAGAGAATCCTAGAGTTGGGTCTACCAAAGGTCATCCAGTCCAACCCCTTAAGATTGAGAGAGAGAGAGAGAGAGAGAGAGACAGAATCCTAGAGTTGGGCCTACTAAAGGCCATCCAGTCCAGCCCCTTAAGAGAGAGAGAGAGAGAGAGAGGGAGAGGGAATCCTAGAGTTGGGTCTCCTACAGGCCATCCAGTCCAGCCTCTTATGGGGGGGGGGGGGAATCCTAGAGTTGGGTCTAGTATAGGCCATCCAGTCCAGCCCCTTATGAGAGAGGGGAGGGGGAATCCTAGAGTTGGGTCTACTAAAGACCATCTAGTCCAACTCCTTAAGAGAGAGAGAGAGAGAATCCTAGAGTTGGGGCTCCTAAAGGCCATCCAGTCCAGCCCCTTAAGAGAGAGAGAGAGAGAATCCTAGAGTAGGGTCTACTAAAGGTCATCCAGTCCACCCCTTATGAGAGAGAGAAAGGGGGGGGAATCCTAGAGTTGGGTCTACTAAAGACCATCTAGTCCAGCTCCTTAAGAGAGAGAGGGAGGGAGGGAGAATCCTAGAGTTGGGCCTACTAAAGGCCATCCAGTCCAACCCCTTAAGAGAGAGAGGGAGGGAGGGAGAATCCTAAAGTTGGGTCTACTGAAGGCCATCCAATCCAACCCCTTAAGAGACAGAGAGAGAGGGGGGGAGATTCCTTGAGTTGGTCTACTAAAGGCCATCCAGTCCAACCCCTTAAGAGACAGAGAGAGAGAGGGGGAGATTCCTTGAGTTGGTCTACTAAAGGCCATCCAGTCCAACCCCTTAAGAGAGAGAGAGAGAATCCTAGAGTTGGGGCTACTAAAGGCCATCCAGTCCAGCCTCTTATGGGGGGGGGGGGGGAATCCTAGAGTTGGGTCTAGTATAGGCCATCCAGTCCAGCCCCTTATGAGAGAGGGGAGGGGGAATCCTAGAGTTGGGTCTACTAAAGACCATCTAGTCCAACTCCTTAAGAGAGAGAGAGAGAGAATCCTAGAGTTGGGGCTCCTAAAGGCCATCCAGTCCAGCCCCTTAAGAGAGAGAGAGAGAGAATCCTAGAGTAGGGTCTACTAAAGGTCATCCAGTCCACCCCTTATGAGAGAGAGAAAGGGGGGGGAATCCTAGAGTTGGGTCTACTAAAGACCATCTAGTCCAGCTCCTTAAGAGAGAGAGGGAGGGAGGGAGAATCCTAGAGTTGGGCCTACTAAAGGCCATCCAGTCCAACCCCTTAAGAGAGAGAGGGAGGGAGGGAGAATCCTAAAGTTGGGTCTACTGAAGGCCATCCAATCCAACCCCTTAAGAGACAGAGAGAGAGGGGGGGAGATTCCTTGAGTTGGTCTACTAAAGGCCATCCAGTCCAACCCCTTAAGAGACAGAGAGAGAGAGGGGGAGATTCCTTGAGTTGGTCTACTAAAGGCCATCCAGTCCAACCCCTTAAGAGAGAGAGAGAGAATCCTAGAGTTGGTCTACTAAAGGCCATCCAGTCCAACCCCTTAAGAGAGAGAGAGAGAATCCTAGAGTTGGGGCTACTAAAGGCCATCCAGTCCAGCTCCTTAAGTGAGAGAGAGAGGGAGAGAGGGAGAATCCTAGAGTTGGTCCTACTAAAGGCCATCCAGTCCAACCCCTTAAGAGAGAGAGGGAACCTAGAGTTTGGTCTACTGAAGGCCATCCAGTCCAACCCCTTAAGAGAGAGAGAGAGAGAGAGAGAGAATATTAGTTGGGTCTCCTACAGGCCATCCAGTCCAACCCCTTAAGAGAGAGAGAGAGAGATTCCTAGAGTTGGGCCTACTAAAGGCCATCTAGTCCAACCCCTTAAGAGAGAGAGAGAGAGAGATTCCTAGAGTTGGGTCTTCTAAAGGCCATCCAGTCCAACCCCTTAAGAGAGAGAGAGGGAGAGAGAGAGAGATTCCTAGAGTTGGTTTACTAAAGGCCATCCAGTCCAACCCCTTAAGAGAGAGAGAGAGAGAGAGAGAGAGAGATTCCTAGAGTTGGGCTACTAAAGGCCATCCAGTCCAACCCCTTAAGAGAGAGAGAGAGAGAGATTCCTAGAGTTGGGCTACTAAAGGCCATCCAGTCCAACCCCTTAAGAGAGAGAGAGAGAGAGATTCCTAGAGTTGGTCTACTAAAGGCCATCCAGTCCAACCCCTTAAGAGAGAGAGAGAGAGAGAGAGAGAGATTCCTAGAGTTGGTTTACTAAAGGCCATCCAGTCCAACCCCTTAAGAGAGAGAGAGAGAGAGAGAGAGAGAGATTCCTAGAGTTGGGCTACTAAAGACCATCCAGTCCAACCCCTTAAGAGAGAGAGAGAGAGAGATTCCTAGAGTTGGGCTACTAAAGGCCATCCAGTCCAACCCCTTAAGAGAGAGAGAGAGAGAGATTCCTAGAGTTGGGCTACTAAAGGCCATCCAGTCCAACCCCTTAAGAGAGAGAGAGAGAGAGATTCCTAGAGTTGGGCTACTAAAGGCCATCCAGTCCAACCCCTTTTGTCCCTGCAGGACAAGCATCTTTCCTTTTTTCTTTCCTTCTCGTTGCAAAGAGAGAGATCCTAAAGTGAGTCCCCAGTGCAAAAAGAGTTGGGGAAGGGGGCTCTCTTTTCCTTCTTTCCTTTATTTCTCCCTTTCTCCCTGTCTTTCTCCTTCCTTCCTTCCTTTCTTCCTTCCTTCCTTTCCCCTCTCCCCCTGGCTGGCTCCCCTTCCTCCAAGGCCCTCCCCCTGCCCAACTTGGACTACCTTTCCGCCCCTCTTTCCCCCTTATTGTCTTCCTTCCTTCCTCTCCTCCTTTCTTCTCTCCTTCTCTCTTTCCTTCTTCTCCCTTTGGGCTTGGCTGACCCTCCGGCTCTTGGGAGCCCCCCAGAAAAGGTAGGATTGATCTTGATCATCTCTCAATGAAAACTTCCAATGTTTTTGGGGAGGGGGGTTGGGAATGTGGTGTTGTCTCTCTTTTGTGGGGAGTGGGGGAGCAAGGAAGGCAACTTTTCCTTTGGCTTTTCCAATGGTTTGAGAGCCTTGGCTCCATCCTCTCCTCCTCCTTTTTCTCCTGCAAGGCTTTCCTTTGTTCCTCCAAAGAGAGAGGGAGATTTCTTTCTTCCTTTCCTTCTTCTTTCTCTTTCTTCCTTCCCTTTCTATGCCTCAGGGAATGCTTTGGAATCCCACCCTCCCCAGTTCCTTTTCTCCCCCTTTCCAGTCTCTGGGCTTATTCAAAGGCTTGGGAAGGAGCCCAGGTTTTGTTTGAGGAGGGACTGACTCCATGCTTCTTCTTCTTCCTGCCCCAATTCGCAGTTGAAGGGGGATTTTGGGAGCTGCAGTCCAAAGGACAACTTTCCAAAACTTCCCTTTGTGTGCTGCTATTAAAGCACTCTCCTCTGCCTCTGGTTGGTTTGCCTGTCTTTGGGACAGATCTGTTGGCAAGGTGGTATTCATCATCATCATCATCATCATCATCATCATCATCATGATTGCTATTTATTATTATTTATTTTATTATTTTATTAATTATTTTATTAATATATATTATTGCTCTGGTTGGTCTGCCTGTCTTTGGGACAGATCTGTTGGCAAGGTGGTATTCATCATCATCATCATCATCATCATCATCATCATCATTATTATCATTATGATTGCTATTTATTATTATTTATTTTATTATTTTATTAATTATTTTATTAATATATTATTGCTCTGGTTGGTCTGCCTGTCTTTGGGACAGATCTGTAGGCAAGGTGGTATTCATCATCATCATCATCATCATCATCATCATGATTGCTATTTATTATCATTTATTTTATTATTTTATTAATTATTTTATTAATATATATTATTGCTATTATTTATTTTATTATTATTTTATTATTTATTACTATTACTTTTATTAACTGTTTTTACATATTGCTATTGGTACTTGTTCTTATTTATTATATTATTTTATTATTGTCTAATGCTATTATTTTACTTTATTGCTATTATTATTTGATATTATTATCACTATTCTGTATGGTTTTTTATTATTGGGTTGTTGTAGGTTTTTTTTCGGGCTATATGGCCATGTTCCAGAGGCATTGATATAGTCTTTCATTTACTAGAAAGCCTGGTGCAGTAAATTCTAGTAAATGACTATATCAATGCTTCTAGAACATGGCCATATAGCCCGAAAAAACCTACAACAACCCAGTGATTCCGGCCATGAAAGCCTTCGACAATACATTTTTATTATTACTATTATTTTTATTATTTTTATTAATTATTTTTATTTATATAATGTGGATTACTCTTGCAATTATTTATTATTATTCTTATTTATTACTATTATTTATTTGTATTAATATTTATTTATTTATTTATTATGGGTTCCTTCAAAGAGTGATGGAATGTGTCCAGAAAGCTCCATCCTGGGAATGAATGGGACAGTGCGGACTCAGCCTGGGATCCCTCCATAGGCATCAAGCAGATAGGGAATGAATGGGGCTGGTGTATGGGGAAAGTTGGGAGGGGAATCTTTCAAACTGTAATAATAACATTAAGATTCTTTATATTCTTCTTTATATTATTCTTTGTATCAATTATATTACTGATTGTTCTTATTTATATTATGAAAAGTGTGGGGGTCTTTAAAATAATAATAATTCTTTATATTAATATTACATTTATATTATTGTTGTTGATTGTTCTTATTTATATTGTGAAAAGTGTAGGGGGTCTCTAAAATAATAATAATAATAATAATAATAATAATAATAATAATAATTCTTTATATTATTAACTAGCTGTACCCGCCACACGTTGCTGTGGCCAACCTTCCCTCCTTCTTTCTTTCTCTCCTTCCTTCCCTTCCTCTCTCTTTTCTTCCCTTCTTCTTTCTCCTTCTCTACCCTTCTTTCTCTTCCTTTGATCTTTGGTTCCATCCTTCCTTGTCTCTTTCCTTCCTCTCCTCCCTCTTTCTCTCTTTTATTCCTTCTCTCTTCCTTCCTTCCTTTCCTTTTTTTTTTTCCCTCCTTTCTTCTCTACCTCTTTCCTTCTTTCTCTCCTTTCTCTCCTTCCTTCCTTCTCTACCTTTCCTTCCTTCCTTCCTTCTTTCCTTCCCTCCTTCCCTCCTTCTTTCCCTCCTTCCTTCTCTACCCTTATTTTTTTTCCTTCCTTCTCTCCTTCCCTCCTTTCCATTCTTCTCTCCCTCCTTCCTTCCCTACCTTTCTTTCTTTCCTTTTCTCTCCTTCCCTCCTTATTTCCCTCCTTCTCTCCCTCCTTCTTCCTTCCTTCTCTACCCATCTTTCTTTCCTTCCTTCTCTCCTTACCTCCTTCCTGTGTATGTGTTTTGTGTGTGTATATGCATATATGTGTGAGTGTGTATATATATATATATATATGTGGTTTTGCGTGTGCGTTGTAGTGTATTTTTGGGGTTTGGGGGCTTTTTAAGTCCCTTCTTCTGTGTTTTTATGAGTGATGGTCACTCGTTGGCCTGAGAGGTGTCTTGTGTCCAAATTTGGTGTCAATTCGTCCAGTGGTTTTTGAGTTATTTTAATCCCACAAACGAACATTACATTTTTATTTATATAGATTATAGTTTTTATTCTTTATATTATTCTTATGATGTGTATATTATTGGTATTCTTATTATTCTTTATATTCTTTTATTATTTTTATATTATTATTATTATTATCATCATTATTTTAATTGGGTTGTTGTAGGTTTTTTCGGGCTGTATGGCCATGGTCTAGAGACATTCTCTCCTGACGTTTCGCCTGCACTTATTATTATTTTAATTATTATTATTATTATTATTTAATTATTATTTTAATTATTTGTCTTACTATTCGTTACACTGTGCCAACACTGTTTTTGTTCCTGGGTGATCCGTGTCATTATTTCCTAATTGGTTCTAACATAAAGACATGGGGGGAAAAGTTTTACCAAGCTGCCCAAACTTTGTCTTTGTGGGCGGGATGGAAGGAGGGAGCTCATCCTGCAGCAGTTTGTCAATGAATCTCTCCTCATCACCAGCCCATTCAACCTATGGGGAGAGAGAGGTTTGGGAGGGACTCCTTTGTTCAGGACTGTTCCTCCCTCTTTCTTTCTTTCTTTCTTTCTTTCTTTCTTTCTTTCTTTCTTTCTTTCTTCTCTCCCTCTTTGGCCCTTTCCCTTCTCCTTGCAAATACTTGTCTGCTTCTTGCAAAGGGAGCCATGCCTGCCTTCCTTCCCACCTCCAAAGGGAAAAGATGGCTCCTTCTCCTTCTTCGCCTTCTTCCGCAGAGAGTAGCGCATGCATTCATACATCTGGGAAGCATTAACTAACTCAAGGCTTTTCTGCCACTTTTACTGCAAACTTGAGTTCAAAGCAGACAGAGAAGGACGAGGAGAGGGACAAGTCTTTCCCAATCCATTCAGGCAAGAGCAAACGCCTGCAGTCAGGGGCGGCTCAACTCTTACGCAAAGTAAGCCTTTGCAGTATAGTTGATTTTGCCCTGGGGTACTCTTGAGGCGCTCTTGGGGGAAAATAGACCTTGACATATGCAAGTTGTAGTTACTGGGACGTATAGTTCACCTACAATCAAAGAGCATTATGAACTCCCCCCCCCCCCCCAACCAATCATTGATATATATTTTCTGTTCTTCGTGGGAGTTCTGTGTGCCATATTTGGTTCAATTCCATCATTGGTGGAGTTCAGAATGCTCTTTGATTGTAGGTGAACTATACATCCCAGTAACACTTGCCGCACTTTCTCCCTTGCCTGGCCCGCTTTGGGTCCGGAGGCGTGCCTGAAGACCCCGCGTGTGCACCAAAAGTCACCTCTTCTCCTGACTTTCTCCTCAGCCATTGGGACCAAGAGAGAGAGAGAGAGACAGAGGTGCAGATGCCCACCTTTCCTGAAGGTAGGCGCAAAAACAAAGGAGGGAGCGGAGGTGGGAGATACCTCCTGCCGGAGGGGCTCTCTCTCTCTCTCTCTTGGTCCCAATGGCTGAAGAGAAAGTCAGGAGAAGAGGCGACTTTTGGTGTGCACGCTGGGGTCTTCAGACACGCCTCCGGACCCGAAGCGGGCCAGGCGTGGCGGCTCCGCCCCTTGGCCCACCCGCGGATTGGGGAGAGGAGAGGAGGTGGGTGGAGCGCCGGGGGATCGGGAAAGGGAGCCGGTCATGGGGAAGGGATCGAACGCGGAGAACGATTGAGCGCCGGCTCTGCTCACGCATCCGGTGGCCGGGTGGAGCAGGAACGAGAGGGGCTAGGTGAGACTCAAGGTCCCGGCCCCTTTGGGAAGAGGATCGCCCGGCAGCAAGGCAAGAAAGCTGAGGCTCCCTCGGACTGCTAGGGCTGTTGTGAGCTGAGGGGGCGCTCCTCAAGTGGCGGTCGAGGGCATTTACAGAGGTGCCTCTGCACCCCTGGCAATAAAAAGTGTTCTGCGACCGCTTACTTCACATCATGGATGAGCCGCCCCTGCTGGGATGTATAGTTCACCTACAATCAAAGAGCATTCTGAACTCCACCAATGATGGAATTGAACCAAATATGGCACACAGAACTCCCACGACGAACAGAAAATATATATCAGTGATTGGTGGGGGGGGGGCAAAATACTGCTTGCTTACCATTGAAAATTACCTAGGGCCCCCTCTGCCTGTAGTTTGACATCTTGCCATCTTCCTGGTCCTCCTTGCACCCCATTTGCCACCCTGATGTACTTCTAGTCCTCAACTGTATTGTATTTGCCATCTTGATGTATTTCTAATCCTCACTGTGTCCCATTTGCCACCTTAACATGTTCCTAATTCTCATTGCGTTGCATTAGCTATTGATGTGTTTCTTGTCCTCACTGTATACTATTTGCCACCTTGGTGTGTTTCTAGTCCATGTTATGTGATGCTTGCTATCTTGACATGTTCCTAGTCCTCACTGTGCCCCATTTGCCACCTTGATAATAATGATCGTTTATTATTTATCTTCTGAGCCCAATTCAAGGTGCAGGTGCTTACCTACAAAGTCCTAAACGGTTTGGGTCCATCCTACCTGCGTGACTGCATCTCCGTCTATGTACCCACATGTTCTCTTCGCTCATCCGGAGAGGCCTTGATCGCGATTCCTCCTGCGTCGCAGGCGCGTCTGGTGGGGACGCGAGACAGGGCCTTTTCTGTGGTGGCCCCCCCGACTCTGGAACACCCTCCCCAAAGACATTAGACTAGCACCCACGTTGGCAGTCTTTAGGAAGAACTTGAAGACCTGGCTGTTCCGATGTGCCTTTCCAGAATAGGAAAACTCCACAACAACCTGTCCCAGAAGCACTTTTTTAGACTTTAAGATTGCTTGCACACTGCACTTACCCTAAAATCCGACATACCACCTGTCACATCAGCACTTTTAATCTGTACCCATTACATTGGCCCGGCCCAGTTTTATTGTGTTTGGTGTATTGTTTAATTGTTCTGTTATTTTTGATATTGCTTTAATTGTTTTGACTTGCTTTGAGTTGTGTATTTGCTATGCTATGTTTTTGAGGCCTTGGCCTTTGTAAGCCGCATCGAGTCCTTCGGGAGATGCTAGCGGGGTACAAATAAAGTTGAATAATAATAATAATAATAATAATAATAATAATAATACTTTATTTGTACCCCGCTACCATCTCCCCAAGGGACTCGGTGCAACTTACATGAGGCCAAGCCCACAGCACATCAATAAACAAAAGCGATAACAAATCATCAATACAAAACAGTTAAAATAAAAACTCAAAAACAAAAATACACAACAAGCAATAAACAATAACAATAACATACAGCATTTAAAAACCTATGATAGGGCCAAATGTAATAATTAAAATTTAAAATGCTGGGCATAAACAAGGTAGGGTATAACTAGGATAGGGTTTTCGAAGAAAGATAAGGGCGCACAGACAATCCTAAGTCAATATTAAAGTGCCTTTGAGGACATATTGCGAAGAGTTTTCCTTATTCTGGGAAGGCACACTGGAACAACCACGTTTTCAGGCTCCTCCTAAAGACTGCCAGCGTTGGGGCATGTCTGATCATAGAATCATACAGTTGGAAGAGACCTCATGGGCCATCCAGTCCAACCCCCTGCCAAGAAGCAGGAATATTGCATTCAAATCACCCCTGACAGATGGCCATCCAGCCTCTGTTTAAAAGCTTCCAAAGAAGGAGCCTCCGCCACACTCTGGGGCAGAGAGTTCCACTGCTGAACGGCTCTCACAGTCAGGAAGTTCTTCCTCATGTTCAGATGGAATCTCCTTTCTTGTAGTTTGAAGCCATTGTTCCGTCTCCTAGTCTCCAAGGAAGCAGAAAACAAGCTTGCTCCCTCCCCTGTGGCTTCCTCTCACATATTTATACATGGCTATCATATCTCCTCTCAGCCTTCTCTTCTTCAGGCTAAACATGCCCAGCTCCTTAAGCCGCTCCTCATAGGGCTTGTTCTCCAGACCCTTGATTGTTTTAGTCGCCCTCCTCTGGACACATTCCAGCTTGTCAATATCTCTCATTCGTTCATAGAATCATAGAATCAAAGAGTTGGAAGAGACCTCATGGGCCATCCAGTCCAACCCCCTGCCAAGAAGCAGGAATATTGCATTCAAATCACCCCTGACAGATGGCCATCCAGCCTCTGTTTAAAAGCTTCCAAAGAAGGAGCCTCCACCACACTCCGGGGCAGAGAGTTCCACTGCTGAACGGCTCTCACAGTCAGGAAGTTCTTCCTAATGTTCAGATGGAATCTCCTCTCTTGTAGTTTGAAGCCATTGTTTCGTGTCCTAGTCTCCCGGGAAGCAGAAAACAAGCTTGCTCCCTCCTCCCTGTGGCTTCCTCTCACATATTTATACATGGCTATCATATCTCCTCTCAGCCTTCTCTTCTTCAGGCTAAACATGCCCAGCTCGTTAAGCCGCTCCTCATAGGGCTCGTCCCCACCAATCGTGCCTGCGAAGGAGGTGGGAGCATGAGCAGAGCCTCTCCAGATGATAGAAGAGATTGTGTGGCTTCGTACACAGAAATGTGGTCATGCAGGTAGGCGGGTCCCAAACCGTTCAGGGCTTTGTAGGTAAGAACCTGCACCTTGAATTGGGACCGGAAAATGAACGACAGCCAGTGGAGCTCCTTAAATAGGAGAGTTGACCGCTCCCTGTAAGAAGCACCGGTTAGTAACCTGGCTGCCGCCTGTTGTACCAATTGAAATTTCCGAGCCGTTTTCAAGGGCAGCCCCATGTAGAGTGCGTTACAGTAGTCCAATCTGGAGGTGACTAAGGCATAGACTACCCTGGCCAGATCTGACTTCACGAGGTACGGTCGCAGTTGTCGCACGAGTCTTAATTGTGCGAAGGCCCTCCCAGCCACCGCCAACGCCTGAGCTTCAAGCATAAGTGATGAGTCCAGGAGGACACCCAGACTGTGGACCTGTGACTTCAGGGGGAGTGCAACACCGTCCAGCACAGGTTGCCACCCTATACCCCGATCCGGTTTACGATTGACCAGGAGGACCTCTGTCTTGTCGGGATTGATCTTCAGCTTGTTCCTCCTCATCCAGATAGACACAGCGGCCTGGCATTCGTACAGTACCCGAGGGGCTTCCTTGGAGTTAGGTGGAAAAGAGTAGTAGAGTTGCGTGTCATCTGCATAGAGATGGCACCCATCTCCAAAACTCTGGATGACCTCTCCCAGCGGTTTCATGTAGATGTTGAAAAGCATGGGGGACAGAATGGAACCTTGCGGGATCCCACAGGTCAAAGGCCAGGGGTCCGAGCAGGCATCTCCCAGCTTCACCATCTGGGATCGACCCTCCAGGAAGGACTGGAGCCACGACAAAGCCGTGCCCCCGAGACCCATCCCGGAGAGTTGTCCCAGAAGGATACCATGATCGATGGTATCAAAAGCCCCTGAGATGTCCAAGATGTACTTCTAGTCCTCTTTATATGATGCTTCCTATCTTGATGTGTTTCTAGTCCTCATTGTGTGCCATTTGCCACCCTAGTCCTCACTGTATACCATTTACCATCTTGATATACCGTATATACTCGAGTATAAGCTGACCCAAATATAAGCCAAGGTGCCTAATTTTACCACAAAAAACTGGGAAACCATATTAACTCGAGTATAAGCCGAGGGTGGGAAATGCAGCAGCTATGGTCCAATTTCAAAATAAAAAATAGATACCAATGAAATTAAATTAATTGAGGCATCAGGAGGTGAAATGTTTTTGAATTATTAGATAAAACTGTAATTTATGTCAAACTCTGATTAAACCATTATTCTAACCTTCTTCAGTGTAAATGTGCTTGTGTATCCTTTCAATAATAATAGAGTAAAATACTGAATGTCATAAAAATAATAATAGAGTAAAATAATGGAAATGTAAGAATAACAGTAATAATAAAGTAAAATAACAATTGTAATAACAATAATAATAATAGAGTAAAATAATACATGTAATAAAATAATTGAGTAATGTAATATTATTATTAAATATAATAATAGTAATAATAATAGAGTAAAATAATACATGTAATAAAAATAGAGAACAGTAAAAATTTAATAAAATGATAATAAATCGAGAAAAATAAATGTCATAAAAATAATAATAGAGTGAAATAATGGAAATAATATTGGAGTAATATGATAATGGAGTAATATAATATAATAATGGAAATAATGGAAATCATAATGGAGTAATATAATATTGGAGTAATATAATAATATTGGAGTAATATAATAATGGAGTAATATAATATAATATAATAATGGAAATAATGGAAATAATAATGGAGGAATATAATATTATTATTAAATATAATAATAATTATAATACTAATAGAGTAAAATAATACATGTAATAATAATAGAGAACAATAAAAATTTAATAAAATGATAATAAATTGAGAAAAATAAATGTCATAAAAATAATAATAGAGTAAAATAACAAATGTAATAACAACAATAATAGTAATAATAATAGAGTAAAATAATACATGTAATAAAATAATAATGGAGTAATATAATGTAAATATAATAATAATAGAGTAAAATAATACATGTAATAATAATAGAGTACAACAAAAAATGTAATAAAATGCTAATAAATCGAGAAAAATAAATGTCATAAAAATAATAATAGAGTAAAATAATGGAAATGTAAGAATAACAGTAATAATAGAGTAAAATAACAAATGTAATAATAGTAATAGTAATAATAATAGAGTAAAATAATACATGTAATACAATAATAATGGAGTAATATAATGTAAATATAATAATAACAGAGTAAAATAATACATGTAATAATAATAGAGAACAATAAAAATGTAATAAAATGATAATAAATTGAGAAAAATAAATGACATGAAAATAATAATAGAGTAAAATAATGGAAATGTAAGAATAACAGTAATAATAGAGTAAAATAATACATGTAATAAAATAATAATGGAGTAATATAATGTAAATATAATAATAATAGAGTAAATAATACATGTAATAATAATAGAGAACAATAAAAATTTAATAAAATGATAATAAATCGAGAAAAATAAATGTCATAAAAATAATAGAGTAAAATAATGGAAATGTAAGAATAACAGTAATAATAGAGTAAAATAACAAATGTAATAATAATAATAGTAATAATAATAGAGCAAAATAATACATGTAATAAAATAATATGGAGTAATGTAATGTAAATATAATAATAGAATAAAATAATACATGTAATAAAATAATGGAGTAATATAATGTAAATATAATAATAACAGAGTAAAATAATACATGTAATAATAATAGAGTACAATAAAAATGTAATCAAACGATAATGAATAGAGAAAAATAAATTTAATAATAATAGAGAAAAATAATAAATGTAATAATGATAATAATAGAGTAAAATAATGTAAATGTAATAATAATAACAAATAGAGTAAAAGATTAAATAATAATACTAATAACAGAGTAAAATAATAAATAACCTTGACTTGAGTATAAATCGAGGGGGGCTTTTGCAGCCTAAAAAAGGGGCTGAAAAACTAGGCTTATATTCGAGTATATACAGTATTTCTAATCCTCACTTTGTCCCATTTGCCACCTTTCCGTGTTCCTACTCCTCATTGTTTTGCATTGCCCGCTGATGTGTTTCTTGTCTTCACTGAATATTCTTTACCAACTTGATGTATTTAAAGTCCTCACTATGTGATGCCTGCTATCTTGATGTGTTCCTAGTCCTCATGGGGGCCAATTTGCCATCTTCTAGTCCTCATTGTGTCATATTTGCCACCTTGACATGTTCCTAGTCCTCATTGTGTCTCATTAGCCATTGATGTATTTCTTGACCTTACTGTATACCCTTTGCAACCTTGCCCTGTTCCTCGTCTTCATGGTGCCTGTGTTTCTCTTTGTCTTTTGCCAGGTCGGGACCCCCTTCCTTCCTTTTCTTCAGTCCCCATTGGCCATTGCCATGGGTGCCTGGGCCCGGTTCCTGCTGGGCGGGGTTTGCTTCCTGCCACTGCTGTCCATCTGTCCAAGCCAAGAGGAAGGTCTCCCCTCCTCCTCCTCCTCCTCTGGACCTGAGAGCCAGCCGCCGCCCTCCAGCCGAGTCCGCCGCAGGGGACACGACACCCTCCGTGGGTCAGCACCATTGCTATTACTATTAATATTAATATCATTATGCACAATGCATCCGTTGAGCTGTGGAACTCCCCGCCACATAAAAAACTTAGCAAAGGGAGTAGTGGAGCGCTCTGAAGAATGGGACCCACCAGAGGTTGCTCTTCCTCATGGTTGCTGCCATTATTGGTGTTGTTGTTACTATATTATTAGTAATTATTAGTAAGGTATTATTATTTAAGGTAAAAGGAAGAGGGGCCGACCAAGGGCAAGATGGATGGATGGCATCCTTGAAGTGACTGGACTGACCTTGAAGGAGCTGGGGGTGGTGACGGCCGACAGGGAGCTCTGGCGTGGGCTGGTCCATGAGGTCACGAAGAGTCGGAGACGACTGAACGAATGAACAACAACAACATTATTATTTTGTTGTTTTTATTATTATTAAATCATTCTTAAACTATTATTTTGTTATCAAATAATTATTTTATAATTATTTATAATAATAAAATAATTTCATAATAAAATAACTATTATTTATGATAATAAATAATTTAATATTAATTAATTGTCGAAGGCTTTCATGGCTGGAATCACTGGGTTGTTGTAGGTTTTTTCGGGCTATATGGCCATGTTCTAGAGGCATTCTCTCCTGATGTTTCGCCTGCATCTATGGCAAGCATCCTCAGAGGTAGTGACAAGTGGCAAGCATTCTCACTACCTCTGAGGATGCTTGTCATAGATGCAGGCGAAATGTCAGGAGAGAATGCCTCTACACCAGGGGTCCTCAAACTTTTTAACTGTCCCTCAGACCGTTGGAGGGCCGGACTATGGGTTTTTTTAAAAAAAAATCAATTTAAAAAATCCTATGCACATTGCACATATCTTATTTTGCTGTGTGGAGGGGCCCTTAGAGTGGGTTCTTTCTAGCCCTCTTTAGGCAGTAATTCCAGGAGCAGAGAATGGGAAATCTTCCTATTTCTAGTCTGAACAAAATCTGGCTATACCAGTATTTAAAAAACTCTAAAATTATAACTGTAAATAAAGAACAACACTCAAACACAGGGGAACTCCAGACAAGAAACAAACAGGGCCAGCTAATCACCTCTCAACAAAGGATTCTCCCTAAAAACTGTCAGGCTATGAAATGGTAATCAAGGTGGCCAATTGAAACATTCATACCTACCTCCAACAGACAAGAGTTCTTTCTCCCACCCTGGATCTTCCACAATTCCTAGTTAAAGGTTTTCCTCTGACATGAAGTCCAGTCGTGTCTGACTCTGGGGTGTGGTGCTCATCTGCATTTCTAAGTCGAAGAGCCAACGTTTTCCGTAGACACCTCCAAGGTCATGTGGCTGGCATGACTGCATGGAGCGCCGGGGCAGCCTCCCTTGGCTGGCTCACGCTGCCCATCGGGCCCGATGGGCAGTGTGAGCCTGCCAAGGGAGGAGCAGCCCCGCGCAGCCTACGTGCGAGTAGGCCATGTGGAGCAGCTGCCCTTGGCTGGCTCACACTGCCCATCGGGCCCGACGGATAGTGTGAGCCTGCCAAGGGAGGAGCAGCCCCACGCCTACTCACGCGTAAAGCACCTCGCGAGGTGCTTTACGTGCGAGTAGGCCATGCGGAGCAGCTGCCCTTGGCTGGCTCACGCTGCCCATCGGGCCTGACGGATAGCGTGAGCCAGCCAAGGGAGGGGCACTGTGTGGGGAAGGGGCACTCCTCCTCCATGGGCCAGATAAGGCCCTTGGCGGGCTGGAAGTGGCCCATGGGCCGTAGTTTGGGGACCCCTGTTCTAGAACATGGCTATACAGCCCAAAAAACCTACAACAACCCAGTGATTCTGGCCATGAAAGCTTCTTCCAACCTAGCAGTTCGAAAACATGCAAATGTGAGTAGATCAATAGGTACCGCTCCGGTGGGAAGGTAAAGGCGCTCCATGCAGTCATGCCGGCCACATGACCTTGGAGGTGTCTACGGACAACGCTGGCTCTTCGGCTTAGAAATGGAGATGAGTACCACCCTCCAGAGTCGGACACGACTGGACTTAATGTCAGGGAACTACCTTTACCTTATATATATATATATATCTATCATGCATATGTATGTATACATATATACATACATATGCATGATAGATAGATAGATCATAGACATCTAAAGCTAGACGAGACCCCAAAGAGGGCCATCCAGTACAGGACACCACTGGAGTCTTCCAAACAGATGGCTATCCAGCCATAGATATGATTGAAATCGACAGATAATAATAATAATAATAATAATAATAATAATAATAATAATAACAATCTTTATTTATACCCCGCCACCATCTCCCCAAAGGGAACTCGGGGCCGCTAACATAATACAGCAAAATAAGATACAAAACAGCAGAAAATGAAACACAACAAAATGCATAATGTAACAAAATAAAATAAATAGTGCAAAATAACAATAAAAATCGAACACAAAGGGCGGGCCAGATGTGCAAGATAAAATGTTAATATGTTCATACCCTGGGTGAGATAGGAAATATAGAAAGTGTATTTGTAGGGGAGGAGCCCGAGAAGGAGGAGCAGTGGGGTTTGGTCTTCATTAAGGACAGGGGAAAGTGCATCATGTGGGCAACTGTAGATGGAGTGAATGGGTCACTCTCCGAAGGCACATCAAAAAAGCCAAGTTTTTAGATCTTTCTTAAAGGCTGCTAAGGTGGGGGCTTGCCTGATGGATATGATATGGTTGGAGACTAGCCTCCTTCTTCCCTTTGCCTTGTAGACCCAACGTGTGTGGGTCACGGTTCCATTCGTATTGCTGCCCTGGATGGAAGACACTCCCAGGAGGCAACCAGTGCATCGTCCGTGAGTAGAATCATCATCATCACCATCATCATTATAATCATCCTCCTCCTCATCCTTCTTCTTTTCTTCCTTCCTCCCAACAGCTATTTGTCGGAATTCCTGCGGAGATGGCTTCTGCTCTCGGCCCAACATCTGCACCTGCGCCAATGGGCAGCTCTCCCCAAACTGTGCGGGAGCAGCAGGAGGAGGAGGAGCAGGTGAGCTGCCCCCATCATCATCATCATCATCATCCCCATTATTTTAATGCCGTTGGTTAGAGCAAAGGATTGCCTTCGTGTTATACAGAAATAACTCAGACTTTGTAAGTTTGAGGAAATCAACAAGCAGAGCGGTCGCAGTTCAAATTCCAGGGATAATGGGACCGTTGTTGCTGTTGTTGTTGTTTTAATGCCATCAGGTTGGATCCCAGTTCCATAATAATAATAATCATCATCATCTGTAGGCTGGATCCCAGTGCCATTATATTATTGTTGTTTGTGCTGTCGTGTGCTGGGTCTATGACAATGTCTGTTTACAGGACGTGCTTTCTGTATGCCCAACAGGACGCCGGGGTGCCTCAGCTAAAGGGTCCCATAGGTTTCCTAACACAAAGTTCTGTAGAGGCTCAAAATAGGTTCAACAAAGTTCTTTATTAAGACTTAAATCTTCGAACGAATGAATTAAATGCTATATAATCTTAAAAAGCTGGTAGCTTTCTCGATCTGCCAACAAGGGACAGGCAACTGCTTGATAAACTGTTCCTATCTTCTTTAGGGAAACCTTCCAACCCCTCCTTGGGCAATCTTTTTTTACCCTGCTGGCGTGAGGCACCAACTCCCGGCTCCAAGCTGCGTTATGGATAGCTCGAGTGGTCCCTTACCAGGCAATGGTTGCTGTAGATCTGCCAAGCTGGTGTCCTGTAGATTTGCCCCACAAAGGCTGCGGAACCATTCCTTTATTTTCCAGCAAAGCTGGCTGTATTCCCCCAGCAAAGTTGTGGAACTGTAACTTTACTCCCCAGCAAAGCGGTAGAGGTTTTCCCTTTTCCTCAGCAAAAGCTGTAGAGGTTTTCCTTTTCCCCCAGCAAAAGCTGTAAGAAGTGAAGCTTTTTTGCAGGTGGGACAGAGAAAGCCCACACGTCCTGCTGTAAGGCTCCAAACTGGGAGACTGAACTAAATGTCCCCCTTTCCCTCCAAACCTGAGGAAAGGGGCGGATCTAAAGGCTCTAACGATGATTGATAGGTTGTTGGCCCTATGACTGCAACCAGGGGAAAGCTACCCAATTGCAAAATGCATGGCCCAAATGAATTCAAACAAACTAACAGTGCAAGAAAAAGAATCAAATCTTCTGGCGTGCCAGCACATTGTTGTTGTTGTTGTTATTGTTGTTAATATTATTATACTACTACTACTACTACTACTATTATTATTATTATTATTATTATTATTATTATTATACTATTATATTGTGGGTTGGATCCCAGTGTTATTGTTGTTGTTATTATTTTTATAATTTTATATGTAATCTTGTTTTATACTCATGCACTGTTTATGTTGGAGCGCCATTGAGCTGCTGAACTTGCTGACCAAAAGGTTGGCAGCTCGCATCTGGGGAGCTGGGTGAGCTCCCACTGCTAGCCCCGGCTTCTGCCCACCTAACAGTTCGAAAACATGCAAATGTGAGTAGATCAATAGGTACTGCCCCAGCAGGAAGGTAAGGGTGCTCCATGCAGTCATGCCAGTGGCCACATGACCTTGGAGGTGAGCACCACCCCCCAGAGTTGGACATGACTAGACTTAATGTCAAGGGAAAAAACTTTACCTTTAATAATAATAACTTTTTTATACCCCACCTCCAACTCCTAGAAGGGACGCGGGGCGGCTTACGAAAAGACAAGCCCAGAGAGCACAGAGTTAAAACGTAATGCAATAAAATCAAAACAAAACAAACCAAATCGAAAAATATCACAACATTATGAAAACAGTACTATGGGAGCAATAAAAGTGCTGAGTTCAGAGGGCTCTGAGTTGGTACAAAATTCCTAGACAGAGCTAAGGGAAACTGCAAAATTCGGTTACCTTTCACCGTTTATGTTATATTGCACCTGGGGTGCCTTGTAAGCCCCTCCGAGTCCCTTTTAGGAGATGGTGGCGGGATAATAATAATAAGTAGTAGTAGTAGTAGTAGTAGTATTCTTTAGGTTGCATCCTAGTGCCATTATATTATTATTATTATTATTATTAGTAGTAGTAGTAGTAGTAGTAGTAGTAGTAGTAGTAGTAGTGGTATTATCAAAGTCCCATTGAACCTCATGGCCGCTTCACAGGCCCTAGTTTCTCCAAAGAGAGAGGAAGGGGGTCTGCTTCCTTCCTTTTCTCCTTCCTTCTCTCCCCTTTTCCTCCTTCCTTTCTTCTTCTCTTCTTCTTCCTTTCCTTCCCCCCCCTTCCCCTTCCTTCCCTCTCCTCCCTCCCTCCCTCCCTCCTCCCTCCCTCCCTCCCTCCCTCCCTCCTCTTCTTCCTTCCTTCCTTCCTTCTCTCCTTCCTTCTCTTCTTCCTTCCTTCCTTCCTTCTCTTCCTTCCTCCTCCTTCCTCCTCCTTCTTCCTTCCTCTCTCTTCTCTCTTCTTCTCTCTCCTTCTCTCCTTCTCCTTCCTTCCTTCTCTTCTTCCTTCTCTTTCTCTTCCTTCTTCTTCCTTCCTTCCTCCTTCCTTCCTTCCTTCCTTTCCTTCCTTCCTTCCTTCCTTCTTCCTTCTGTCCTTCCTTCCTTCCTTTCTTCCTTCCTTCCTTCCTTCTCTTCTCTTCTTCCTTCCTTCTCCTTCCTTCCTTCCTTCCTTCTCCTTCCTCTTCTCTTCTTCCTTCTCTTCCTCTTCCTTCCTTCTCTTCCTCTCTTCTTCCTTCCTTCTCTTCTTCCTTCCTCTTTTTCTTCCTCCTTCTCTCTCTCTCCTTCCTCTTCTCCTTCCTTCTTCTCTCTTCCTTCTTCTCCTTTTCTTTCCTTCCTTCCTTCCTTCCTTCCTTCCTTCCTTCCTTCCTTCCTTCCTTCCTTCCTTCTCTTCTTCCTTCCTTGCTTTTTTGCTTCCTTCCTTCTCTCTTTCCTTCCTTCCTTCTCTCATTCTCTCCTTCCTGCCTGCCTGCCTCCCTCCCTTCCTTCCTTCCTTCTCTCCTTCCTTCTTCCCTTCCTTCCTTCCTTCCTTCTCTGCCTTGGGTTTCTTTCTTTCTCTCTTTCTCTCTTTCGCTCCAAGAACAAATGGAGGGAGGCCCCAGATGTTCACAAGCTTCTGAGCGATGCCTGGAAGATGCCAGGAATGTGCGCCTGCCTTTGCCTGCCAAGGGAGGGAGCGAGGAAGAGGAGGGGAGGGGGCTGGAAAGGCGGGCAGGGGTCTGCATGCCTCACATTCCCGCACAACCCAGGGGTCACAAGGGGAGGGGAGGGGGCTCTCAAGGCAAAGGGATTGGCCAAGGCAGGCCCTTGTCCCCCCTCCCCCTGCGGTCAGACACCCGAGGATAAGTACTTCTGGGGTCTCCCCCTGCCCCCCCTCAAGCGCCATCTTAGGCATTTTCAGAACCTAGTAATAACAATAGTAGTAGGAGCAATAATAATGAACTTTGTGTTGTTGAAGGCTTTCATGGCCAGAATCACTGGGTTTTTGTGAGTTTTCTGGGCTGCATGGCCATGTTCCAGAAGCATTTTCTCCTGACGTTTTGCCCACATCTATGGCAGGCATCCCCAGAGGTTGAGGGGTCTTGCGGAAACGAGGCCAGTGGGTTTGCCTAACCGTCTGGGGTGAGATGCAGTGGGGTAGAAATACTGTAAATAAATAACAATTTGAACAATGAATGGCATGCGTTCCTTGCCCCTGAACACATGGGATGCTGGGATTTGTACTTGGGTGAGGACCCAGCCCTCTTTGGCAGCCCCCCTGATCCCAAACTCCATCCTACAATAGACTCCATAGCATTCAGCCCAGGAAGTTCAAGGGGATTCCTAAATGTGGAAAAGACTTGTCATCTCATGGGTGTTGTGGTGCTTAGAAGCTTGTTACCATTTTAAAATGATGTCTACTTAAGGCTAACCTTTAAAATGGGGCACAGGAAGAGAAATTAATAATGTATTGTCGAAGGCTTTCATGGCTGGTATCAATAGGTTCTTGTGGGTTTTTTTCGGGCTATATGGCCATG